GCTAAAACCTCAGAACCGGCTCCTGATGCATGAATCACTTCTGTATCATGATGCTCTTCTCAGATACACTCCACTCCATGTACTGGCCTAAGGACGTTCCTCTGTCACAGGTGGAGCTGTCTCCTCCACACGGAGCCCCTGGGCCCAGGGCTGGCAGCTGCTCCCGGGTGCTGACGCCCCGGCTCTGCCCCAGCTGCTCCCTGGGTGGGGCAGGAATCAGCAGCCACCTGGGCCTGGGAGGAACCGCTCACTGGGGAGGGGCCTGGCTCTTCCTCTTGGCCTCAGTTTCCCTGTTTGTGAAGGAGGGGACAATGCCCCAGCCCAGGTCTGCAGGAGTGGGGCTGAGGCAGTGAATGCAAGCTGAGCCTGAGGCAGAGGCCCAGCTCCACAGGGAGCCAGGGAGCCAGTGGGGGAGGGGAGGCAGCCCCTGGACCTGGAGCCTCAGCCCCCCTCTCCCAAGGGAGGGAATTGCTCTGCCTCCCTGGTGTCAGGGAAGGGCACACAGGCAGACTGTCACGTGGGCGTCCAGATGCCAGAACTCGCTTTCCCTGCACACACAGGAGGAGGAGGGGCCTGGGGATGGACGTCCCCAGGGACAGCCCTGAACCACTGAAGATCAGGGACACTGGGCCCCTCCCCCACAACCCTGGGTCACTCTGCCTGGTGTCTGTGCCCGGATGGGGACAGAGGCTTTGACCTGAGTTGTGGACCAGACTTGGTGGGCTGATCTTAAGCAGTCACCTTTTAGCCTTCAGTCTTTCCTAAATAGTAGACCCCGTCTGTCCAGTGCTGTCCTGGGGTGCACGTTGGGCACCCTCCAAGGCACCCTATGCCAGGCTCACCTGTGCCCCCACCCTGTGGGGTCTGGGGCTCTGGTTCCCAACAGCGCCACGCAGCCAGGATGTTGCAGCCCCGGCCACACTAGCACTTCCTACTCAGGCTCACTGGGCCTGCGTCAGACCCTCCCTCCGCTCTCCCAGGGCTCGGTCTGCAGACGCCCTGGTGGGGGAGAGGAAAGCCAGGGAGAAAGAAAGGGATCTGAGTCCAGTGTCTCTGTCACTGTGCCATCTGCAGCCTCCCTGAGCCCAGCTCTCACACAGTGAGCTCGATAGAGACAGGTGTGCACCTAGAACCAGTGTGCGGGACGCCTCACAGGGTCACGTCCACAGTGCGTGAGATACCTCAAAGGAAGGCTCCATAAAATAAGACATATGAAAGACAAGACAGGCAGGAAGGAAGTGTTTGGGGCTGGCACTGAGGCGTGGTGGGTAAAGCCGCTGCTTGCTGTGGCCAGATCCCATCTGGGTGCTGGTTTGAGTCCCGGTTGCTCCACTTTGGGTCCAGCTCTCTGCTATGGCCTGGGAAAGCAGTAGAAGATGGCCCAAGTTCTGCACCCATGTGGGAGACTCAGAAGAAGCTCCTGGCTCCCTGTCTCAGATCACCACAGCTCTAGCAGTTGCTGCCACTTGGTGAGGGAACCAGTGGATATAAGGGTGATTGAGAGAAAGACAGTATAACTCTGACTTTGAAATTAATAAATAAATCTTTAAAAGATGTATTTAAAAAAGTGTTTGCAATCACAAAGAATTGGTGTTGGTGACACATGAGGACCTGCCAGTCGTGACAGGACCTCAGAATCCACAGCTGCCGACACAGCCACAGGCAGAGAACGTGACCCAGCATACTGCTGGACACCCACACGGCCTGCCCACACAGACGCTCCACGTTGCAGGGAATGTGACCAATGAATGCGGTCCAATGAATGTGACCCCAGCACCAACACCCCCATCGTCTGCACGGACAGCGCTCATCCTGCCTGCTGGCAGTGTGGGGTGAGAGCCCTCCAGAGCCTCTGCACAAGGGGCCGGGGCACGGCCTTCCTAACAAGCCAGGTACACTCGGCCTCTGCATGAACCCGCCCACTCCCAGCTGTGTCCACCAGAGACCCTCTCGGGGCTGCGTGTGCAGGGTGTGTGCCAAATCCTGCACAGGCACCGTGCCGAATCCTGGTGTCCATGCTAAGACACCACCCTGTGGAGACAGGAAGGGGCGGTTCCAGTGGGCACTGTGAGAGCCGAAGGACCCAGGCCCCGAGGAGCAGCCTCCAGGATCAAGTGACTGCAGTGAGCCCGCCCAGGCCACACCTGAGCCACATGTGCTCTGCTGGTTACCCACACCCACGCTGCCTCCTCACAGCCTGTGCCCACGTCACAGATGCCGGCCCCCACACAGATGCTGCACGGCCAAGGACACCAGGCACAGACAGGAGAACCAGGACTCCAAGCAGGGCGGCCTGGCCCTGACCTGGGTTCTTAACCACGGTCGTCCTCAGCTCCTGATTGGACACACGGATGCGCAGTAAGAGGTCTGGAAAGAGACTCCCCAGGGCGCTGGGTCAGGAGCATGCGCCCTGCGGCTTCCCCTCTGTGCAGCGTGCAGTCGTGGGACTGGGCTTTGGGAAGACAGAAACAAGTTCTGCGGGGTAAATCAGAGGTGCTGCCGCCCTGCCCAGGAGGACCCCACAGCCCCAGGCCTGCTCCTAGCTGTGCCCAAACTCACACCCCCAAAATCCCCCACACCAAGGCAAGGCCGCGCTCAGCGTTTCCTGAGACCCGGGTGACCACTACAAACTCTCCCTGATATGGAGCACCTGCGTCTCCCCGGGGAGATGCCCGGGCCTCTGTGGCTTCCAGCCTGCAGGTGGTTCCAATCCCGGGGCGAGACTGGGAAGAGCCGCCCGCTGCCACGGCCCCGTTGGTGTGCAACTGCTCAGTGGACGCCTGTGCAAGGGGTGGCTCCGGGGTTCCCATCCACCCCGCCCCAGGCGCCCTCTGGGTCTGCACGTCCCACTGCAGGGATCCCCAGGCACTCTGAGGACGCCAGACGGAGAGCCTTGTCCTGGGCACCACCGGAAGCTTCCCGAACCCCAGAACTCCCATGCCGGCCTCTCCCGCAGCAGTGCACCCAGCAAGGTCCCCAGAGGATTCAGAATCCATCCCACCACCCTCTGCAGGGAGCCAGACCACAGCACAGAGAGCCAGGCAGGGGAGGGGCTCTCCTGGTGATGGCGCTATGTAGTCCCAGAAGGGAGGGCCCAGCACCTAGGACGCCCTAAGGCTCCACCCTGCACCTAGCTCTCAGGGCCTCCCCTATCTGGTTTCTGGAGACACCGGACCGGGGCAACAGCCAAGGTGAACAGTCTTGGAACTCAAATGCCAACAAGGCCTTTCGCTCAGACGTTCCTAATTTGATGAAACGTCACCTAGCCTACCTCTGCTCCACCTATGGATGAAAACATGACATCAGGGAAGCCTTACCAGGTGTTAAAGAAAATTCATGGGAATCATGGACTTGGACCAGGCACCAGCACTGGGCCCACACTCCCAACCCAAACAGATTCCTCACGGCCTCGGGGCTGGGGCTGCAGCACAAGGCCCAGAGGCAGTTCATTAATCAGGTAGTGAGCAATTAACTAGTTAAGAGGTGCCCGACTGGCAGGTGTGGGGACTGAACTGGAGCCCTGGTGCTGATCTCCCCACCTCACTTCCTGTTCTCCAGCAAAGCTGTCGCACCTGTCATGGAGTGGGGTCCTCAGCACCTGCTCCAGTTCTGGGAGCTGCCTGACTCGTGACCATGTCTCTGTGATAATGCTGTCCTCACATGGACTCCACTCCATGCATCTGGCCTAAGGAGCTTACTTCAGCCCCGGGAAAGAGTTGTCTCTGAACCTGAGCCCTGAGCCAGGTCCTGGCATCTGCTCCCGGATGCTGACGCCCAGGGCTCTGACCCCAGGGCTCCCAGGTCAGGGGAGGAACAGTGGCCACCAGGACTGGATAGGAACAGAGGACAGAGAAGGGGAGAGAGATCCCAAATCAGGCTCGGGGCCTCCAACAGGGGAGGGACAGAGAGGCAGGGAGAAGGGGCAAGGACAAAGGAAAGGACAGTGGGGGGTCACAGGAAGGAGTCAGCTCCCCACAGCCCCAGGACCCACAGATGCTGACAGCTCCCAGAAACCCACCCAGGCTGCCCATGGCACCTAAGGACCTAGCCCTACCCAGAGGCTCAGGGAAGTTGGGAGCTGTTCCGGGTGCTTCCTGGGGCAGCCACCCTGCAACCAGGGCACCTATTGCTCACACCCCCTTGACAGAGACAGAATCAGTGGCCAAGTGGCAGGGATATGAAGGTGGGCAGCAGCGGGCACTGGAGTCAGGACTCAGCCCAGGCCCTGGACCCGGTGCGGCTCCAAGCTGGCTCCTCCACGCTCCCAGCGCTCTGCTCCCCCGTGTGTGAGCACAGGTGCCCGAAACCAACACTAAGTCCTTCATGTTTTTCCATTCACAATTTATTGACCTAATTGATTTCTGTTAACTTATAAATCTGTTCATTCTGGCACAGAGGCAGTAGTGCAGGGCAATCCATGCGCACCAACAGAGGCATCGAGGTTCTTCCCAGGCAGCAGCTGCTCCCCAGGGACGGAGGAGCCAAGGGATCCAGGCCTTGGGGCAGCAAGGATGAGGGACCTTCGACTCCTCTTCTGGAAGGGCGAGGATTCTGAAGCTGGGCATCTCGGAGTTCATCTTCCCGTGGATGATCATGGTGACCTGGGCAGCCAAAGAAGCCACGGGGTCCTGTCCTTGGGGCAGTGAGGATGAGGGACACTCTATGCTAGAGAGCACAGAGGCAAGGATTCTGGAAGCTACAAGTCTCAGAGTCCGTCTTCCCGTGGAAGATCGTGGTGACCTGGGGGCACCAGAAACACAGCTCAGCTGCAGCATCTGCCATGTAGACCCGTTGGTGGCCCCAGGACCCTCCTGCAGATGAGAGGTCAGAGGGCTTGGCCAGGGACAAGCTTACATTGGGGGAATTTGGGCCTTGTCATGACATGGCCTGGTCCCTGGTTCCTGTCCCTGAGGGTGAGTCCCTTACCACCAAGAGGTCCTTCCACAGGAAGTCTTCTTGCTGGTGCAGATCATGTTTCTGGGCTTCTTTGGATCCTAAACCTTGTAGAGCCACCCGGACTGGGCAGTAGTTACCTGTGCAGGGGAGAGAGGGGCCCGCACTGCCACCGCCCCTCCCCTGCAAACATGGGAGACCCCAACTGAGAGTCCCCTGCAGGCTGAATCTCGAAGTAACAACCGTTCCCCCCCCCCCACCCAGGGACACCACAGTCCCACCTGACAGCCTTCTCAGCTCGGGCCCCAGGATCCGCCATGGACACCTCCTGCCCCGCTCTGCTGAGGGACGCGGGAGCCACTGGGGACACAGAGGGCTTGCGAGGCCAGTAGTCAGTCCCTGCCAAAGGAAGTCCCCATCCAGGATGCGATTCTGGCCTCGGGATTCTTCTCCCTCTCCCGGGGCTCCCAGGAAGGGAGACGAGTGGTGCACAAATGAAAATGCAACAACAGAAATCAAATGAACAGAAATCAAAACACAAAAATGAACAAACTCACTCTGCTCCCGTCACCAGCAGAAAACATGAACTTAATCAGCTACAACAGAACAACAACGGAGTCTGTTCTATGAAGAAAATGTTAAAATGAGAAAACACAAAATGAACATGAATTGTGGCAGGAAACAAAATAAAATAGAAAATGTACAAAGTAATCATAATGGAAAAAGAAAAAATAAATTTGACCAAACAGGAGCTGCAGGATGCGATTCTTCCTCCGGATTCCTCTCCCTCTCCAGGGCTCCCCCAGGAAGGGTCAGCAGGGCTGACGTCTGGGAGACCCTGAGCCAGCAGCTGACACAGATCAGCTCTCACGGCTCTGACTCCTTGAGCACAAAAGAAGATGAAACAAACAGAAATCAAATGAACAGAACTCAAACACAAAATGGACAAAGTCAGCTCACCTCACCAACAGAAAACATGAACTAAATGAACTCAACTAGACTCACAACTGAGACTACCCTATCGAAACAGTTAAAAGTGAGAAAACAAAAAAAGGAATAAATCATAAAGAAAAAAATTCATAAACCTTCACTGTAATAACAATCCAAGAAGACGACATACAGTCCTTAAAAAACCGGAATAAAAATTAGAAAAAAAACACAAAGTGAACAAGGGAAACCCAATAATGGGAGAAAATATAAAGAACAACCACAAACAAGAGGAAAGCCAAGGAAAAAAGTGAAGAAAAAATCCAAATGGAAATGAAATATACAAGGAAATCAGTAAGAAAGGGAAAAAGAATACGAATACTGGAGGAAATCAAAATAAATAAAATGGAAAAAAAAACAAAATAATCAAAACACAAAAAGAAAAAACAAATTGGACCAAAACAGCAGCAGCTTGAAGAACAAAAACAAAACAAGAAAACAAACAGGCAGCTGTTCCCAGCCCCAGGTCCCCGGGACAGCACTTCCTGGGCAAATGACAGAACCCAGGCCCAGCCAAGGCTTTGTGCAGGCAGCGGGCATGACCTCACAATGGTGCCTTCTGATGTCAGAGCAGGAAACCGCAGCAGGTGCTGCCCTCTGCTGGTTTACACAGGCGCCTTTCCACTTAAAAAAAAAAAAAAAAAAAAAGAGAAATTCTTTCTTAGGTTGAAGAGAATGATAATTATGCTTTCTGAAATTAAACCCTGTAGGATATTTCAAACCCTTTTCATTTCTGGTCTTAGCATCTTCCATAATTTTGCCTTTTGCAGACTCAGTGTATCCACTCCTTTCTCTTCACCCCCTGAATGATCGCCTCAAACCATGGTGCAGCGCCACTGGCATCGCGATGCTACATCAAATGTTCTGTCACTCAAGTCAGCGGTGCTGTGACGGAGCTGTAAAGCCACGGCTCACGGGGCCTGCGTCCCATGTGAGTGTCTTGTTATGTCCCAGCTGCTCCACTTTTTTTTTTTTTTAAAGGGATTTATTTATTTATTTATTCGAAGGCAGAGAGAGAAGGACAGAGAGAGGGAGACAGAGAAGGTCCCCGTGTTAGCACCACAAACTCTGTGCACAGCAGGAGCCCCAGCAAACGTGACTGACCTGGGCCATCCCACAGGCTACCAGTGTGCAACCTGGTGGGGAAACCTTTCCTACAGAGGCTGCAGGGGGGGCTCCTGCAGGTCCTGGTGTCCCGGATCTCAGGGGAGACCCCAGCACAGCCTCTGTCTGGCCTGAGGAATCCCCTATGGGCTCATACACTGCTGGGAGCTTCGCAGCCATAACCTCACTCCCTCTCTGCTGCCCGTGGCCCTGGCCCCTCCTGCCAGAACTGGGCCAGGGAGTCACAGCACCCGGGCCACCAGCGCAGCCCAGAGCTCAGGCCTTCCCTTGGGCTGCGCATGGACCTCGAGGCCCCGGCAGCACCCGTTCTCCTGAGATCCCCGCAGTCCACGTGGGTGTAAGAGGGGACTGGGCTTGACCAAGGAGAAACAAAACTGGGGCCTAATCAGGGGTCCTGCTGCCCCTGCCCCAAGAGGACGCCCACAGCCCCAGTCTGCTCTTCCCTGTGCCCAAAACCACACCCCACATAACCCGCACACTACCCAGGGCCCAGGTTCAACGTTTCCTGGGACCTCTGCGAGTCAGTGGAACACATTCCTGATATTTAACACCTGGATCCTCAAGGGGAGATGCCCAGGACTCTGTGGCTTCCAGCCAGCAGGTGGTTCTAATCCCGGAGGGGTGTGGGAGGAGCCACCCGCTGCCACAGCCCCTTCAGTGTGCAGCTGGTCAGAGCACGCCTGTGTCGGGGGCAGCCCCCAGAGCCCCACCACCCAGCCACGCAAGCCCTCTTGGTTCTCACAGTCCACAGCAGGGATCCGCAGAGGCTCTGAGGACGCCTGACAGAGGTCCTTGTCCCCTGCCCCACATGGAAGCCTCCAGAACCCAGAAACCCCAGACCCCACCTCTCCCCCACCTCTGCATCCAGCAATGTCCGCAGAGGATTCAGAATCGTCATGCCACGGTTCCCGGGAGCCAGAGAGGGTGCAAAGGAGGGGTGCAGAGGAGGGGGTCTGTCAGAGGAAGGGGCTCACCTGTGATGACGGCTGCCAAGTCCCAGGGGCAGCCTTCTGCCAAGTAGGAAACCAGGAGAGCTGGGAGCAGGTGCACACCGAGTCCCCAGGACCCAGGACCAGGACCCAGCAGGTGCCGGGTTCTTCTCGGTCTCGGGCTGCAGCCGGGAGTCCCAGGTCACGGGTGCGAGTACCAGAGTGGAAAAGCCACAGCACCGGGGGCTCTGAGCCTGAGGGGGAGCACTGAGACGCGCAGGCTCCATGAGGGCCCCGAGCTGCCCCTGCCCTGCGGCCCTGTTCTCTCCGAGTTCTGGGCGGGCTGGGTGGTGCTGCCCACAGCGAGGGTGGGTCCCTACGGTGCTGGAGGCACTCATCTGGGCTCCACAGACACCCCGGGTGCTCAGTCTTTCCCATCCCGGGGGCAGGAGAGGGGGGCTCAGCACCTGCCGAGGTCTGAGGCTCCACCCTGGGCCCGGCTCCCCCTGCCTGCCCAGATCCAGTCATTGGTGATGCCCGGAACAACTGTCCAAGGCAGTGGCCAGGTTCAACAAGGAGTCACAGAACCTAGATCCTAAAACACAGCTTTGTGTTTGCACGTTGATAATTCAATTAAACATCACTAGCCACCTCTTTCTCCCTCCAGGAGGAAGAACAAGGACACCATGGGAAGCCTTCTCAGGTGCTAAAAAAAATCACGGGAACGGAGTCCTCAGAACCTGCTCCTGATGCGTGAATCACTTCTGTATCATGATGCTCTTCTCAGATACACTCCACTCCATGTACTGGCCTAAGGACGTTCCTCTGTCACAGGTGGAGCTGTCTCCTCACACTAAGCCCCTGGGCCCAGGGCTGGCAGCTGCTCCCGATGCTGATGCCCCGGCTCTGCCCCAGCTGCTCCCTGGGTGGGGCAGGAATCAGCAGCCACCTGGGCCTGGGAGGAACCGCTCACTGGGGAGGGGCCTGGCTCTTCATCTCGGCCTCAGTTTCCCTGTTTGTGAAGGAGGGGCCAATGCCCACAGCCCAGGTCTGCAGGGGTGGAGCTGAGGCTGTGAATGCAAGCTGAGCCTGAGGCAGAGGCCCAGCTCCACAGGGAGCCAGTGGGGGAGGGGAGGCAGCCCCTGGACCTGGAGCAAAAGCCCCCCTATCCCAAGGGAGGGAATTGCTCTGCCTCCCTGGTGTCAGGGAAGGGCACACAGGCAGACTGTCACGTGGGCGTCCAGATGCCAGAACTCACTTTCCCTGCACACACAGGAGGAGGAGGGGCCTGCGGATGGACGTTCCCAGGGATAGCCCTGAACCACTGAAGATCAGGGACACTGGGCCCCTCCCCCACAACCCTGGGTCACTCTGCCTGGTGTCTGTGCCAGGATGGGGACAGAGGCTGTGACCTGAGCTAAGGAATAGAATGGGTGGGGCTCATCTTAAGCAGTGACCTTGTAGCCTTCAGTAGTTCCCTGCATAGCAGGCACCCCGTCTGTCCAGTGCTGTCCTGGGGTGCACTTTGGGCACCCTCCAAGGCACCCTATGCGAGGCTCACCTGTGCCCCCACCCTGTGGGGTCTGGGGCTCTGATTCCCAACAGCGCCACGCAGCCAGGATGGAGCAGCCCCGGCCACACTAGCACTTCCTAATCAGGCTCACTGGGCCAGCGTCACACCCTCCCTCCGCTCTCTCAGGGCTCGGTCTGTAGACGCCCTGGTGGGGAGAGGAAAGCCAGGGAGAAAGAAAGGGATCCGAGTCCAGTGTCTCTGTCACTGGGCCATCTGCAGCCTCCCTGAGCCCAGCTCTCACAGTGAGCTCGATAGAGACAGGTGTGCACCTAGAACCAGTGTGCGGGACACCTCACAGGGTCACGTCCACAGTGCGAGAGATACCTCAAAGGAAGGCCCCATAAATAAGACATATGAAAGAGAAGACAGGCAAGAAGGAAGTGCTTGGGGCTGGCACTGAGGCATGGTGGGTAAAGCTACCACCTGCTGTGGCCAGATCCCATCTGGGTGCTGGTTTGAGTCCTGCCTGCTCCACTTTGGATCCAGCTCTCTGCTATGGCCTGGGAAAGCAGTAGAAGAAGGCCCA